GCAGCATCAGCCGGTGGTTTCCCGCCTGCTCGAAGCAGGCCGGCTGTTAAATAGGAAAATGGCAGAATCAGGAGAATCAGGAGACTGTTCCAATCGATGGGGTATCGGGGATCGGGGATTCTGTCATTGTCCTATGTTGTTTTTTTTTTTTTTTTTTTTTTTTTTTTTTGTATGTCGTGTCACGTGCGCTCTGGTTGCGCTTACAATCGACGTTTGGCTGTCAAGACTAGGTCGTGTTGGTTTATTATTATTATTATTATTATTTTTTTTATATGTATATATATATATATTTTTTTTTTTTTTTTTTTTTTTTTTTTTTTGTGGTTGCAGTTGGTTATTCGAGGTGTTGCGACTGTGCGCTATTTATTTGAGCTTGATCTTAGTCTGGCTTAACACATTTGAAAAAGCAAATAAAGGAGTTTTTTTTTTTTTCATTATTATTTGTGATTTTTGTAATTATTTGTAGTCATTGTGACGTTCGACATGCCATTAATAGGTGGGCCCGGATGTATCTGTAGAATGTGTCTGAGCTCCATCTACCTATTTTTTGAACTAATATGAGTTGGACCCCTCGCATGACCAGTTCTGTTGTCCCCCCGGCCCTGAAACTGTGGCCAGCAACGTCCTCTGATGGTAAGGCTTGTTTGAGCTTGTTGATGAAGTATCGTTTTGTTACCCATGATCCATCGGCCCTGACGAATAATAGGTCTGGGAGGTTGATTGTTGAAGTCAGCCTGTGGACTACGTATGCTTTTAGGGCCTCCACTGGGCATAGATCATCGTATGTTGGGTTGATAATGAGAGATGTGCGCTGGGCGGTGTTGTGATTTTTGGTGCGTGCAAGTTGGATGGTGGCAAAGGTGTGTTGATCGATTTCCTCGAATCTTAGTGCTCTGAATGTTGGTACCTTGTTTTGGTCCTGTTGTGTTGTTGGAAGGAGTTCCCCTAATCGTGCTAGACCATAAAATGCTGACGTTGCTATTGCCCAGAATGCCTTGTCGTTCCATTCATTTAGGTTTAGATTGCTTTTCAGTATTCGCAGGTGGTCTCGTGTTATGTGTGATTTTTGGTTAATCGGCTTGTGCACGTGATTTTTGTCGATAGTTTTTAATAGCTCTGTTACTAGAGGATCATTGCGTATTTCTGTCCATTCGAAATGATTCATTTTGTGGTGGTGCTTTAGTGCTGACAAGTATGATAAGAGCATTGGAGGTGAGACTCTGTTGTGCATGTGTGTAATAAAGTTGACGAGGTTTTCTTTCGTGACGGGCCAGATTTTTTTCTGTGAATTGACCCACTGGTTTGTGTGTGCGATTGTCTCATACTGCCTTATTACTGATTTGTAAGTTTTGTTTGTTTGTGTTTCTATGCCCAGTATTTGGGCGGCTTGTTGGTTAAGTGGTTGAATTGGGTTTCGATCCATGTTCGTTAGTCTGTCTTGTTTGTCTGTTTTGTCGTTAGCGCGACAATATTTGTTATTATTATCTATTGACACAGAGATGGGATTGTTGATATGGTATATTTGTGTGGAATTATGGGCTGCAGATAACGTGAAGTTGGGTTCGTGCTCAAGAATTGTCTGTGGCCGTTTCGTGAGAGAAGGTCTGCCTCTGAATTTGCTTTCCCTGGTATGTGTTCTAACTTGATCGAGAAATTTCCGAGTATTTGAGCCTGATATATCTCTGCTACTATTTCGTTGATTGCTGAGTGTCTGCAGAAGCCGGAGTAAACAACTTCTACATTCGCCTGGTTGTCTGACTAGATAATGAGCCGTTTTTGGGTCCATGTGGGGGAGAACATTAGTATTGCAATGAGTATGGTCAGGAGCTCTCGCTCTTGTATATTGTGCTGAGATAAGTCCATGTCTCTGGACCAGTTGAAGGCGGTGAAATAAGACCTGAATGTTGCGCCTCCGCCTAAGTTGGATGCGTCGGTGAAGAGGTTTTGTGTGGCTGGGCTAAGCCATTGCTGATCTTCCATCAGATAGATTCCAGGCCATCTTGGTAATATCGTAGCCCACCATTTGATATCTGATTTCATAGGGCCGCTTAGTTTTATGTGGGACTTGGGGCTGGTTACTATGCTTAAGGCCTTGATGAAGCGTTGAATAAATGGATGTCCTTGTGGCAGAACTTGACATGCCCATATTAGTGACCCAACTAACGACTGAAGCTCTTTTCTGAAGCACCAGTACTTGTTCTCCCATTGTTTTAACATATTGATTAACTTGGACTTTTTGTTATCGGGAATTGTGGCCGTGAATGACTCTGTGTTAAGGTGGATGCCGAGAAAGGTTATGGCAGTGTCTGGCCCTTCAAGCTTTGATGGTTTGTGTAGTATGTTTAGAATGCTGAGAATCCGAAGAAATTGGTTTAGCTCATCTTGTGTGTTTGTTTTTGATATGATGAGAAAATCATCCACGTAATGGATTATTGACTTTATTCTCTGTTGTGTAGCGATCCATGTAAGAGCGTCGGCAAACCTACAGAATATACCACCCGAGGCTCGGTTGCCGAATGCTAGAGCTTTGTCGAAGTATATTTGTCCTTCACATGTGATTCCTTGAAGTACCTGGTCTACTGGGTATACTGGTAAAATCCTGTAGGCATCCTTTATGTCAATTTTTGACAGCGAGCATCCTGGTCCGTAGTGTGTAATCCATCTAATCGCGTGGCCTATATTTTCTTATTGTGTGCTGAACTCAATTTTGTCTATACCGTCATTTATGCTTGCTCCAAAAGGGGCTGATAGATGATATTATACGATACACTTTGGGATTTGTATCCTTTTTCTCTATTAAGCCACAGGGGTTTACTTGGAGGAGCTGGTATGGCGGCTGGTCTTCAGAAAAGGGGCCACACATTCGTCCTTGTGCCAATTCGTCCTGAATGTATCTTGTGAATGACGGAGGGTCAATTTCTATTGTCTTTAGGTTCTTTTGGATAAGCCTTGTCCTTTGGCCCGTGAAGTTGAATCTGAACTCATTTTTAAGACCATCAAGTAGATAAGTTATAAATGGACGATTGGGGTGGTTGTTTGTAAGATATGCGAACATCTCAATATTAATTGGGGTGGAAATGCCGAAGATGTGTGAGTCGAGTTGTCTGTAAATTTCGTTCTCAGTAGCTGTTAGCGGCATACTGCATGGAGGAATAGCCGTGAGTGTGTAATCGACTGATTGAAGTGTTGGAGTCTTGACTATGATAATTCCTCGGGCTGCTTTATATTGTGTAGCGTGTTTGAAGTTCGTTGCTGTTTCGGGGTCTGCAAAGATTGGGATAGTTAGCACGGTATTAAGTAAATGTGTAGTATTTAACTTGGTGCTCTGTGTATCTATGGCGATTAATGCAGTAGTTTATTTTACATGTATACGTTGAGTGGCAGAACGAGATGCGGTGCGCTAGCTATACTTTAGTTGCCCTTATGACAACGGAGATTGTTTTTTTTTTTTTTTTTATTTATTTATTTATTTATTATATACAGTATATATATGTATATATATTTTTTTTTTCATCTATTTTTATTTATATATATATATATATTTTTTTTTTTTTTTTTGTTTGTAATAGCCCTTTTCATTACGTTGTTACTGTAATCGTTATAGACATTATCATTATTATCACTGCTCTTCTCCTTGTTCGTGCCCTGCTTGATATTATTGTTATTATCGTTTAAAGTATACTACGATCTTTGTTTGCCTGTGCATAGATCGGTCATTGTGCATACGATTATTGTTGATATTATGCATGATGCGGGCTGTTCATTGTTGTGTATTTTTGTC